GGGGGCCCGATGGCGCCTCCTCCGGGCGAGGCTCAGCGTCCGCCGCCGAAACGCGCTTGACGGCCGCCCCAGCCCTGGGGGTCCATTAGCCGGCAGAAGGGCACACCCGGTCTGGGGGAGGCGGGGGGCGCGGGGGTCCAGCCCTCCCAGCGTCCCCCCCGCTGGCCGGGGGTCCTTCCCGGGAGCTGGGGCGACTCTGACCCTCCGTCCCGGCGACTCGCATGCTTCAGCCCGGGCTTCGAGGGGGGCGAGGCCGGCCAAGCGGCAGGGCTGAGAGGGTGACCGGATCTCTCCTGGGAATCCGGCGATTTAAAGCAAGGATGGCTCCGGCTGGGACGAGCGACACCCCCCCCGTCCATCTGGGGGGTGAGTGAGCGTGCCGAGAAAGCACACGAAGCAGTCCCTTGCACCTGTGTGCGGGGGTGGGGGGAAGGGGGGAAGTCCTGTACGTGATCCTTTTTCATTCTTCAGTGCGTCCAAGCCTTTCTCATCCTAGGAGGCATTTGGGTGGGAAAACCCCTGCTTTCCTGCCTTTCCTCTCTCTTCCTCTCTTAGGAAGCAGACGGTTCTTTGCCGCACTTCCTAGGCGTAGGAGCGAGCTTTAGCAACCGACGGAGTTTGCCGTCTGCGTGCCTTTGTGGCGGTGACAGAGAGAATGTTTCCGAAGGCAGCTGCCCGGGGCCGTTGAGGCTGAGCTTCCCCGGAGAGTGTAGGACAGCAGCAGCAGCAACGTCCTGCTGTGAGGAGAGAGAAATAATTTTTGCAGAGGAACTAGGATTTATGTTTCAGTTTGTGAAAGCTAATAAATGCTAGTAACCCTAATATAATCAGCATGTGCGAGCAAGATACTAATTTGTGGCCTGTGAGCCTATGGGTGCTCAGCCTTTTAAATGTCCAGAAATACCCTGGCTGTAGGCTTTGGCTTAATTTTGTCTGTGCTTCTGTACCCAGATGGCTACACAGTCGACGACATCGTGTTCTTTTGGCAAGGAAATAATTCAGCCGTGACGGGGATGGAGGTGCTGGAGCTGCCCCAGTTCACCATAATTGAGCAAAGGCTTGTCACCAGAGAAGTGGTCTTTACCACAGGTGAGTTCTCACTTCAGACATGTATTGCTGCTTCTTGGAGCATCAAGGACTTGATGCAAGCACTAATGGATTTAGCTACATACGTTATGCAAAGACCCAGCTCCCTAGGGAAGGCTCTAATGCTGGGAAGGGAGGAAGGAAAGAGAAGAAGAGGGTGACCAGCAGCCAGGCAGATGGACTCAGCTCCCGTGGCGATGGGGGCACTGTTGGAAGTCCTGAAAGACCAGGCTGAGGACAGATAGGCATGGAGAAAATCGATGTGGCCGCTAGGAGCAGAACGTGATGTGATGGCACGTAATGAATCAGTCTTGGCCAAATGCTTTCCACTTGGGCAGAAGAGAGCAGGTAATGGAATGCCTAGCTCTTCTCCCCGTTTCTGATTGCACGTGCTTCTCTTTCTGTTGCTATAGTTCATAGCACAAGTCCTCCTCTTGGGATTTCGTCCTCTGCCTGCTGCATTCCCTGCAAGCAGGCATTTAGCAGTGAACTGCAGCTACTCCTCCCCCAAAGCTGGGGTTAAACTCTTTTCCTAGCCATGGACGTCTCCTTTGAACCCCCTCTGGCTTCTCCACATCATTCTTAAAGTGTGCTGCCCGGAATACAATACAGGACTTCAAGGGTAGTTTAACCAGCATAGAGCACAGTACAGTGACCTTGGGATCTGGGACTGGAGGAAAGCATAGAGAGAAAGAAGGGGGGAAATGAAAGACAGGGAGAAAGCTGAGGAAGGAATGTTGAGGGAGGGAAAAAAGTCACCAAAAAGAAGAAACTCTGGAAAGGGCATAGGGTAGTTTGAGGACGAAGAACAGAACACACAGCTGTGAGGGAAAACAGCGTTGGGCACAGTGGCAGGTTAGCTGTAGGCTGTAGCTGTGGGCTTGAAGGTTGATGAAGGATGGTTCAAGATATCTCTGAGGGCAGCAGAGGAGGAGGAGGTAAGATGAACTTGGTGCAAGTAGGTGAAATGGGATGAGGGAGAGGTTCAGGAAGGTGTAGGTGAAAGAATTCATAGTCACTGACCATAATGCAGGGAAGAATACAGGGCAACATTTTGTGCTGAATTGAATCAAACTTTGGCAAACTATTTTGGGGTATTGTGTGTGTCTAGCGATTTCACTGTTTCTAGTTTTTATTTGTTTATAAATGTATTTACAGAATCCATCTGAATGTTGGGGACATTCTTGACTTTTTATTACAACTTTAAATTAGCAAAACTAAACATAAATATATGTTTGCTCTTCTTAAAATATGTTGCCACTAATGAAGATGTCCACAGATGTTTGAAATGCCAGTTTGGCTGAATATGGACTGAATTTGGAAAAAAGTGATAACCCAGGGCTTTCTGTATACCAAGTTGTATATAGTTGTACCAAGCTGAGATATCCAGTTTTTATTTTATGACTAACAGACTTGAGAAAACATGAATGGAGCTTCAGTTATGATCTGAATATGACTGCCAGTGGAACAGCCATAATTTCCATATAACAGCCATTCAAAATCCTTTCACAATATTCAAATCAGAGTCAGTTTAGCTGGAACCTATAGGAGAGTAATAAAAGCCCATTCTGGGAATGGCTTGATAACATTTCTAATAATTTTCTGCCCTGCCCCACTCCTTTCTCAAGGCTTATCCAGTTTCTTCTTGGCTATCATTTGCAGGAGAAGTCCATTCTGGCCTTCCTGTTACCTATTTGGGGTCTGAACTACAAAATTCTTCCTCTGAGATGGACTACGGACTATGGAAGGATGTTGTTGGCCTAGAGGTAGCAGGAATGGAGGCCAAGGACTAGCAGTACTAGATAATCCAGGACTCCTATCACCATTTTCAGTATTAGCATTAGATGGTATTTTTTTAAAAAAAATTGCTTAATCATTCTTAAAAGAAGAAGAAAAAAGCGAATGAGCAAGAAAAAGAAAAAGAAAAATACTGGATACCGGTATATAATATCAAGTAAACCAAAAGACCCAGTAGCCAAAGAAGAAAGTGGAGGTGCCCGTGGAGCGGTCATACCCAGTTCTCTGGGAGCGGATTGATCCTGTTGGCCCGGAGGAAGTGGACAGTGTCCTCGGGGCTGTTAGCACGGCTACCTGTATTTTAGATCCCTGTCCCTGCTGATTGGTCAGAGCCACCAAGGAGGCGACTTTAGGGTGGGTACTGGCAGTGGTCAATTCATCCTTGGAGGAGGGGGTGTTTCCGAAGCCTTTAAGGAGGCTTTAGTCTGCCCCCTCCTCAAGAAACCATTGCTAGATCCCACCCTTCTGGACAATTTTTGTCCAGACTCCCACCTTCCCTCTTTTGTCCAGACTCCCACTTTCCCACCAGGAAAGGTGGTGGAAAAGGTGGTCGTGCACAGCTTCAGAGGATCCTGGAGGAAACGGAGTATCTGGACCCCTATCAGTCAGATTTCAGGCCTGGTTATGGGACAGAAACAGCATTGGTCACACTTTTAGATGATCTCTGGTGAGAGTGGGATAGGGGTAGTGCATCCATCCTTGCTCTTCTTGACCTCTCGGCAGCTTTCAATACCAACGACCATGGTATCCTTTTGGGTCAGCTGCAGGAGTTGGGGCTGGGTGGCACAGTTCTGTGCTGGTTCAGCAACTTTCTCCAAGGCCGAACCCAATCGGTGTTGATAGGAAGCGAGAGGTCCAACCCATGGCCCCTACTTTGTGGGGTTTCTCAGGGTTCAGTGTTCTCGCCACTCCTATTTAACATCTACATGAAACCTTTGGGTGAGATCATCTGGCACCATGGGATGAGGTATTATACATCTCCATCCTGGGTGACCTAAGTGATGCTGTGGCTACCCTTTCGCGGTGCCTGGAGGCTGTAGGGGCCTGGATGGGGGACAACAGGC